TTTTTATTAACTGCATCAGGAAATCTTTTATTTGCTTTTCCAGGTGTATTGTGTCTCACTGAATAATTACATTTTCTTATTATTTTATGCATAAATATTATTAAGCTGTATCTAGAAATTATGAACCATTTCAATCTGTATTTACAAAATCTTCAGACCTTTATGAAGCCTACCTTTATATAAACTATGGATGCACACATATGTTACACTTAATTTTGAAGCACAAATAGAATACATAATATTTTATTATGAACCAATTTTTGAATTACTTGTGTGCAAGGATATTAATTTTCTTAAACAACTTATTATTTATTATCTAGTCTAGCATGTTAGTATGGGCCTTTCTGTCCCTACTGAAAGTTACCCACTGCACACACAGAACAGCAAAAATCTCTTGGTTTCTCAGCCCTCAATTTCTATGTTCAGCTCCCATGATTACTTTTGTTCATGGCTACTCTTATGATCAAAGTCGAAATAATGCATTTTAGTGATTAATAAGTAAATTTTACACCCATACTTCAAATAATTCTGATACTTTATGAAAATTCTTATAAAAGTAGTATAACATTTCATAGTATCATTATAATATTCAAAGTATCATCATAATATTCAGACAGCTAAACACATCAAACTAAAACTCATCCTGTTTACTAATAAAGTATATCTGCTAATTTAAATTAAAAGGATGGCTTTTAAAAGAAGTTAGTAATGCTTTTTAAGAACTATTGTCGACCCATAAAATAAAACTTGCTACAGTCAGTAAACACAATAATGTACCTTCATGCTCTATATTTACAGGAAAATGTACAATGGTTTTCTCAAATGAAAGAGAAATTAGTTACCTATCTCATCAAATGTCTTAAGGAGCACACCAAACAAAAGATAATCAAATGATGAAGTCAAACAACCAACTTAATAGCTAGAAATAACAAGACCCCGCCATTTTCCTATCATTGGCAGTACTGAAACAAATGCTTTTGAAATGTTTGTCTATAAATAGCTAAGTCATTTGGGGTTGAGATTTTCTGTATGGTTGCCATATACTCTGAATGTTCACAATTCATAAAGTATTGTGAGCACACACATATGGTAAATATTGCATTTCAAAGTATCAAAATGTGAGCACTTTTGTTTAGTTATAAGAGTTCATGCATCGCCTTTGCAATGGTTTTGTTTATTCCCAATCAGAAAAGTCAACCAACCAACCAGACAAATAAACAGAACAGTAAGCCTTTTCTGTTATCCATGCTAAAAATGTTGTATGTAAGTTGAAATTTTTAAAAAGTCATTATATTGCAAACCTGGGAATTGTTATCCTTTTTTCCCCCTGTTTTACATAGGGAATGAAATCATCTTACTTGTCACCCTGATACCAAGAATCAGCTTAAAATGTCAAGATTCCCACCCCCAATCTTCATGGTTTATTAAGCAAAAAACTAAAACTCTCCATGGTCCCTTCTGGTTCCAACAATATCTGATTCTAAGGGATGTAATGGCTCTCTTTTCTTGTTCAGTAGCGTCCTGGTGAGGGAACAATTTTACTGTCCTTTTCTGTGGGGTCCTGCCGGTTAATCTAAAAGGAAATGAATTACAGCAGGAAGACAGGGCTACAAAATGAAGCCATTTAGTTTTACAAGTCTATTGTGTCCTTACATATGTTTTATGGGCCTGGTCCTATTAAGAAAAAAAAAAAAACGCTTAAACAAACTTTACTTTCAGTCTCTTTCCAGTGAAAATATTTACTATTTTATGATTGTCTTTCAAGTCATTTTAGCCATCCCCCCCACTTCTATGTTTCTTTTCCAAGAACCTTCTATCCTACTTTCTCAAACATACAAAACCTTCAGAGACAAGAAACTGGACTTTTCAAATCCAAACTGCTGACAACTGTCAGCACTTTACTGAGGCATTACTGGCTGTAGCTTCAATGAATTAAGCTTGATTCACTGCGGGTGAATCATTTTCAATGCAGAGCTGTTCAGCAGTAATTGGCCAAGAATCCCTGCTGAGAAAAGCACTTGTCAAATAATGCTTGTTTACAAATATATCTCCAGACAGCAAAAAGTGGCAGTTACTGAATAAGTTCAGGGCCATCTCCAAAATTTCAGAATTGCTGGCACAGGCCTTTTACTTATTAAATTTCTTAGAATTATTCACTTGTTGGTGCACTTACTAATGCTATCCTCCTTAATCAGCCTGAAAATAAAGTCTTCTGCTAAAATACTTGAAACTATTATTTTTTTAGTAAAGGTTTGTCTATCTCGATGCTGATTGTTTCTTCCACGTGTGGTTTATGCCCACACATTACAAGTAAGTGAATATTGATTGTACAATTTGCTTAGAATGCAGTTGTGTATAAAAGATGAAAATAAAAAATAATTGGAATAGCAAGTATAAATGATAATTCACATTTATTTCTAGTCTGACATTTTATCTCATAATCATATTTTGTATATTCTATATGTGTACAACATATATACACACAGATAAATGACTGAAGAATCACTAAGCATTTCTGTTAGTTGCAGTCAGTAAATTTTATGAATCAATTTATTAATAAATTTAGCATGTCAATCAAGTATTTCTGCACTTGAATTTCCAAAGTTCTTCTATTAAAAACAGAAACAACTTGAAGATGTATTTCATTTTCTCCATTAAATAAAAAATGAAGAATGATGCTATGAATCTTTTAATATATGGCACTGCTCCATGTTTAGGAACAGTGGTGTAATAAATATAAAGCAGGAAAGAATCCAGATTTCACAAAACAGGAGGATATGGGGGTAGTATTAAAGATGGTGTCCTGTTGGGTAGTGAAGGAATGAATTGGACAGACAACCTCAAAAAGTACTATAACTAAATTTTTACTTATACATGACAAAATGTTCCCCGAATAGCAGGCATCCAGGATTCTGAGGTCTTCAGAGCACCAGAGATAGAGTACATCTTGGTTTTGTTACACCCCCCAACCCTCAAATATATGTAGGCAAGTCAGCTTTACATTACTGTGGGCTTTACTAGCTGGCAAAGACTCTGCAACCTGTGGGTGTTAAAGCTTGTGCTTGCCAAGCTCCGTTCTACAAGCTGCAAGTTTTGCTTATGGCACCTTTGGAGACTTGCCCCACTTCCTTCCCCTTGTATTCATTTCATTAGTCTTGGCCCCTGTTCACACTGGGCATCACACTCTTTGATAATTTAATTCTTCAGTTCTCTTAGACTTCATCGAGTCCACTTCCCTTCCCCATCACACACATAGCAAGTGGACTGTAGATAGGTGGTTGGAATTATATGTAGTGGAAAGAATGATTGATACTACCCTTGAATCATTGTGCAGTTAAGTCAGGATGGCCCTTTGGCTGGAGTAAAACAGTTAAAAGCCCCTCCTTCCTCTTCCTTCTCCTCCCTTCTCACTCCTCCCTTACCCTTAGACACCTCCCCTGCATTAGCCTTCTTATAGCCTTTGAACTTCTAATCTAATGGTTTTAGCATAATACGCTAATAAAAGATTTGAGTCTAAAACAAACAAACAAAAATGCATCACTTAAAAAAAACTTTAGAGAGAAAACAAAGCAACTTGTTTGGCTTAAAGTGTGGCTTTTTACCGATAGATATCGACAGATAGACATATTACTCTGAACAGATGTTTAATAATAAACATAGTGAGAGAGTCAGTGGGGTGGGGTGTGAGTCTCCATCTGCCCAGCTTTAGCAGGGTTCCTTGGGAACTGGCAGCTCTGGGGGTTACCAGCTCAGCGTCTTCTAGAGCAGACTGAATCCATGCTAGTCACGAGGTCATACACCACTCTACTGCTGCTGCTACTTCATCTTTTCAGGTTCAGCATCTCCTGTCCTGAAGTGCAAGGGTTTATTTAAGGTATTACACCCCAGGACTCTTATCCACTGCCCAAGCTGAAAGCCCCAGGCTTCTAGACAAGAGGACAGGATTTTGATGTTTCCATGGTGAAGAGGACCACTCCTGGTGACAAGAACCTGGTCCAAGATGCCCAGTGTCTTTCCCCATGTTCCACCCACCCTCTATGCTAAGCCTTGAGACCTTAAGCTGAGCCCAGAGCAAGCTGTGAAGTGTGAAAGAGTGGCTGAGAAGACCCCAGGCAAGGCCATAGAATGGAGCAAGACTGGTTACTCCGAGGCTGAGACCAGCTCAAGGGAAAGAACAACACCGGTGGTGTTCCTACCTCCAGATTTACTCTCCCAGAGGAAAGCAAACCGTCTGGAGCAAAGAATTGGGGACATGGTGGCTGGATGCTGCAGGACCTGGTGCCTCTGGATAAGACAGGTCTTATCTCACAAGATAAGCGTTGGTGGGTTCCACGACCAACTTCCTAGCATCCACATTGCCATCCTCCCTTCCCTCCTTCCTCTACCTGTGCTTTGGGGTGCTAGGAACCCTCAAATAGAAGGGCATCGGTCAGCTACTGCCCTTCAGGATCCCCTCCTTCAAAAATTAAAGCTCTTCTTACCCAGCAGGGAATAGCAGCTATTGGTGCCCTAAATAACAGCTTCTGGGCAGCCACTTTCCACAAAACATAAGCATCAGCCACCGTGACACCATCTCCAAACACCAGCATTAAATAAAGATTCCTGAAACCCCCAAGGATCCTAAGAGCCTTGCTATCTTCTTTCTCCTTAAGCCGGATGTGTCACTTCTCCAGGTTCGCAGGACCCAACCGCACCCAACCTCCCAGCTCAGGTCTCAGACCTCTTTCAGTCAGGCTTCCAACTTCCCAGCCCCCAACCAGACTCAGTCCATAGGCAGGTTCCTCGCCTGTAAGCACTCCGCATATATGTCAAACAATGCAACCAAAGACACCAAAGAGATCCGAAAAATGGCCAGCAAAAGCGGACAAACATTAATTGGAGAAGAAGAGCGAGATTTGGTCTAGGTAACGGTGCCTGGAGAGCCGAGACCGGCTGACACAAGCTCCACCTCACCCAACCATCCCAGGGCGCCGCCGAGGTCCCCATCTCCATTACCCTACCTTCGTTGCTGGGGCTGGCCAGAAGGGTCCGGAGCGCCGCACACAAGAGAAGGCACGTCCAGAGGGGGCCCTTAAGAGGTGCAGAATAACAGCCTGCCAAAGAGGCTGGGATGCAGGGGGCGTCGTCGCCACCACCTCTGCCCTGGGTCCGTCGGCGTCCCGCACCGCGGGGCCCGGAGCCCCGCATTTTCCGCTACCCTCTTTCCTCCTCTATGTCCCGCGTGGTTCGGTCTAAGGTTCAGGCTTGGTGGGAGAAGCGAGAGAGACGAGGGAGTCCTCCTCCTAGTGGGGTCCTGTGCCTTCTGGCACTGGATCCCTACGAATGCGGGAATCAAGGATCCGCGGAGACCACTGAAGTTTGCTTCTAACAGGAGTCTCCCTCCTTTTAGTTGGATGAGATGAATTAGGAGTTCTGATGACTAGTCCATTCCAGGGTGGTCTCATTCAAGGGTTTGCAGAAGGTCCCGAGTCCCGCTCCTTTGCCTCTTAAGACTTTTCTTTTATTCTTGTTCTTTCTTTTAATATTGTGATTTTTTTCTTTTGCTTTTAAAAGTGCCACCAGGGTTGGAGTGGTGGTGAAGGTTGCCTTTCAGTTCTCAGTGCTGAAACGGACGAGATTGAGGAAGACGGATCATCTTAAATCAAGATGATGTTTTCCATAGAAAGGAGGGGGAAAAACGCAAGCAGGGGTGACTGTAGATAAACGGGAGAATAGTAGAGCGAACGTGGTGTGGAAAACAGCGAGGACAGCGGAGCAAATGCAGCGTTCTAGAGAACTGGAGAGGCCGGCAGAGGGAAGTCAAATCCT